TATGCCATTCATTTTACTTGTTTGGCTATTTCTGTTGTATAAACTTGCGCATTTGTTTAATTCTCTTTAACGTAAAACAGGTTAATTGTTAAATCCCAAATTAACTCATTAACTGTGTTTTATGCATTACTCATATCTCTGCCTCTTCTTTGACCTGAGTTATCTTTTTGATAATGTCAAAATGGGGAGAAAGGTTGTTTTGTTGTTTTCTGATTGTGCAGGTTGATCGTAATAACAGCTTCCGATATTTGCGCATCATATCAACCTTGCCAACACAATCTTCAAGCTATTTTCATCACAGGTGTTACATTTGATGTGGAGTTTGTCATCATAAAAAAGGGGGAGATTGAAAGTGTGCATGTCAAGAGGAACACTTTGGAAAGCTCTCCTTATATGTCTTGGTTTTGATGAGGACAACTTGTGCTAATAAGAGCTTGAAGATCATCAACAAATCAACATGCTTAAGCCTTCCGATTGGTACCTTGCTTAGACTAGACTAGTTTAGGTTGAGTCCAAGGCTTAAGTCACCTAATACATATCTCAATTGCATAAATCTTTTAAATCTTTTTCATCTTGAGATATGTCATTCATAATATGTTCATGCATCATATAAATACATGTACATATGCATTCTAGGCATAATCTAAGTATTAAACATGTATGAATTTAAGTGCATAACATATTTGAATTGTTTTTACACATGAAAGAATGCTGTTAATCGATTACCGCATAGGTTAATCGATTAATCTAACTGTTTGCACAGTGTAATCGATTACAACAAAGGTTAATCGATTAATCTAACATTTTTGTGAAGCTTAATCGATTAAAGCTGTCGTTAATCGATTAACTGGGCATTAAAATCAATTCTTTATAAACTGCATTTTCAGAATTGATCTCATAAGTTGCATGCTAAATTTTTTAGAGAGTTAGAGCATTTTTTTCGTGTTAATTGTTGCATCTAGTTGTAAATGCATTTGTGAGCTTAGAAAAGAGAGAATTCTATGCTTTAGGATTGAGTGCTTTTCATGATACATTTCTCATCTTTTCTTATCACATGTTCTTGCATTTTTACATGATTCTTGATTAGATGTTTACATATTATGCATTCTGTTTTTCACTAATACATTTTCATACTGAATGAGCTTGTATTAGGTGATTAGAGTAAAGCCTTATCTTGTTAGATATAAGTCTTGTTATAGCTTAAGTTTACTCTGTATTGTTTTGTTTGAAAAAGTGTTGTAATTGTGGGAATCTCAAGGTGTCATATCACCAAGAGATTGAGTGTGTCTTCACTGAGTGTTAGACTTAGGGATAAGTAAAGAACAAGGTTCTTGGCTGGGGCTACACCGAAAGAAAGGTTTTCTTTGTCGGTAGGAAGGGAGTCAAACCATAGAATAGGTTTCTTTTTTATCTTGTAAGTGTCTAATTGTTGTAATTGGATAGTGTGTATGTAATTAACATTCATTCAATTATAGTGAAGAAAAATCTCCCAAATCAGCCGGGAGGCCTGGATGTAGTTTGCGGTGGACAAGCAAACGAACCAGGATAAAATTCTTGTTCCAGGACTTTTTCTATCCCTTTCTCTCTTTATTGCATTTGATCGATTAATTTGTTCAGTAGATTTAATTGATAATCTGTTTCTGTACTGTATTGTTTTTACTCTGATAAATTCTGTAAGCTTGCCATAATCGTTTCGTTATCAATTAACTGTCAAGCAAGAAATTGTACTTGCATCTGCTTACTGTCACGGTTTAATCGATTAAGTGTGGTGTGTTAATCGATTACTTCAGTCTGTTAATCGATTAAGTGGAATGTGTTGAAAGTGTTAATCGATTACCCTGTTTCGTTAATCGATTAATCAAGGTGTTTTTCAGCATTAAGTGTTGTTTTCGAAAAGCGGACATTCTAACCGCTACACCTATTCAACCCCCCCCCCCCCCCCCCCCCCCCCCCCCCCCCCCCCCCCCCCCCCCTTCTAGGTGTATTGTAACCACTGATACCTAACACATCCTAACCGAGGCACTTAAGCCAAAACACTTCCTTACTCTTGGCCAAATATTAATCCCACACACTAGCCAACATATTTGACCCCTCTCGGCCAAACACACCCATACTCAACCTTAGCCTACCCAAAAGCCAAAAGCTAACCCCAACTCACATAAAACAATCAAAATAACCAACAAAAAAGTCTACTTGAAATCAAAAGCCGAACTTCAAACAAAACGATCTTATAAAAATACCTACCCCCACAAGGAGGTTGCTATCAGTTTTCAGCACAAATAACTCTCAAACTTCTTTGTGGGTAGATTTCAGCAAAAATAACTCCCAAACATCTTTGTTGCGAGTTTCCAGTACAAATAACTCCCAAACGTCTTTGTTGTTACTTTTAAGCACAAATAACTCCCAAACATCTTTGTGGTTACTTTTATGCACAAATAACTCCCAAGCTTCTTTGTGGCTAGTTTTCAGCACAAATAACTCTCAAACTTCTTTGTGGGTAGATTTCAGCAAAAATTACTCCCGAACATCTTTGTGGCTAGTTTCCAGCACAAATAACTTCCAAACTTCTTTGTGGCTACTTTTAAGCACAAATAACTCCCAAACTTCTTTGTGGCTAGTTTTCAGCAAAAATTACTCCCAAACTTCTTTGTGGCTAGTTTTCAGCACAAATATCTCCCAAACTTCTTTGTGGCTAGTTTTCAGCACAAATAACTCTCAAAGTTGTTTGTGGCTACTTTTTACGCTCAAAAAACTCCCAGATTTGTTTGTGGCTACTTTTAAGCAGAAATAACTCCTAAACTTCTTTGTAGCTAGTTTTCAGCACAAATAACACCCAAAGTTGTTTGTGGCTACTTTTAAGCACAAATAACTGCCAAAGTTGTGTGTGGCTACTTTTAAGCACAAATAACTTCCAAACTTCTCTGTGGCTAGTTTTCAGCACAACTAACTCCCAAAGTTGTTTGTGGCTATTTTTCAGCACAAATAACTCTCAGACTTCTTTGTGGGTAGATTTCAGCAAAAATTACTCCCAAACATCTTTGTGGCTAGTTTCCAGCACAAATAACTCCCAAACTTCTTTGTGGCTAGTTTTCTGCACAAATAACTCTCAGACTTCTTTGTAGGTAGATTTCAGCAAAAATTACTCCCAAACATCTTTGTGGCTAGTTTTCAGCAGAAATAACTCCCAAACTTTTTCGTGGCTAATTTTCAGCACAAATAACTCCCGAAGTTGTTTGTGGCTACTTTTAAGCACAAATAACTCCCAAACTTCTCTGTGGCTAGTTTTCAGCACAAATAACTCCCAAAGTTGTTTGTGGCTACTTTTTAGCACAAATAACTCCCAAACTTCTCTGTGGCTAGTTTTCAGCACAAATAACTCCCAAAGTTTTTTGTGGCTACTTTTAAGCACAAATTACTCCCAAACTTCTTTGTCGCTAGTTTTCAGCACAAATAACTCACAAAGTTGTTTGTGGATACTTTTAAGCACAAATAACTCCCAAACTTCTTTGTGGCTAGTTTTCAGCACAAATAACTCCCAAACTTTTTTGTGGCTAGTTTTCAGCAAAAATTACTCCCAAACTTCTTTGTGGCTAGTTTTCAACAAAAAATACTCCCAAACTTCTTTGTCGCTAGTTTTCAGCACAAATAACTCCCAAACTTCTTTGTGACTAATTTTCAGCACAAATAAATCCCAAAGTTTTTTATGGCTACTTTTCAGCAAAAATAACACCCAAACTTCTTTGTGGCTAGTTTTCAGAACAAATAACTCCCAAACTTCTTTGTGGCTAGTTTACAGCACAAATAATTCCGAAACTTCTTTGTGGCTTGTTTTCAGCAAAAATTACTCCCAGACTTCTTTGTGGCTAGTTTTCAACAAAAAATACTCCCAAACTTCTTTGTGGCTAGTTTTCAGCACAAATAACTCCCAAACTTCTTTGTGGCTAGTTTTCAGCACAAATAACTCCGAAACTTCTTTGTGGCTAGTTTTCAGCAAAAATTACTCCCAAACTTCTTTGTGGCTAGTTTTCAGCACAAATAACTCCCCAACTTCATTGTGGCTAGTTTTCTGCAAAAATTACTCCCAGACTTCTTTGTGGCTAGTTTTCAGCACAAATAACTCTCAAACTTCTTTGTGGCTAGTTTTCAGCAAAAATTACTCCCAAACTTCTTTGTGGCTAGTTTTCAGCACAAATAAATCTCAAACTTCTTTGTGGGTAGATTTCAGCAAAAATTAATCCCAAACATCTTTGGGGCTAGTTTCCAGCACAAATAACTCCCAAACTTCTTTGTGGCTACTTTTAAGCATAAATAACTCCCAAACTTCTTTGTTGCTAGTTTTCAGCAAAAATTACTCCCAAACTTCTTTGTGGCTAGTTTTCAGTACAAATATCTCCCAAACTTCTTTGTGGCTAGTTTTCAGCACAAATAACTCCCAGAGTTGTTTGTGGCTACTTTTTACGCACAAAAAACTCCCAGAGTTGTTTGTGGCTACTTTTAAGCACAAATAACTCTCAAACTTCTTTGTGGGTAGATTTCAGCAAAAAATACTCCCAAACATCTTTGTGGCTAGTTTTCCGCACAAATAACTCCCAAACTTCTTCGTGGCTAATTTTCAGCATAAATAACTGATAGCAACCCACCAAGGCCCATCAATCTAGATGACCTAGTGGGCCTAGGAGGAGCCATAACTCGGGCTAGGGCCAAGAAGGCCCAAGACACGTTGGGCCAACTACTACTAAACATCAAAGCAGCCATTGGGCCAAGTGACACCACAAGGCCCATAACTTGCCTCATCCTAGAGGACACTCCCCTTGAAGGCCACGGCCAAGCAAGGGAGAATTAAAGGCTTGGATGCTATTTTTGTTTTTCAAAGAAGTGGCATTAAGTCCACAAGCTTTATTTAATACTTGTGACAGCAACCTCCTTGAGGGGGTTGGTGTAATTGCGATCGTTTTGCTTGAAAATCTAACAATTGGTGCGGAATTGACTTAGAATAGGGGTGTCTTGGTTTTGTGTTTATGTTTTGGGTGATTTTTGGGTGTTTTTGGTTGGCTTTGGATTATGGTTGTGTATGACTTAGTTTATGGCCGAGGGGATGGGTTTTTGGGCTGGTGCTTGGTTAGGAAATTCTCACCGAGGCTTTTATATCCTGGGTAGTTTTTCTGGCTGTAGGATTGTGTTTAGGTGGCTGTTTGGCCGTGTATGATGGGGTTATGAAGTGGTTGTGGGTGTAGTTGGATAAAAGAAGGTGAATAAGATGTGAAGGGGGAAGGTGCCACAAGCATGAAGCTTGATAAACCAAATGAGATCCGCCACAACAAGGATGTTGATAAGGATTAGGAGAGGCACCACACCAATGAAGGTGATAAGCCAAGGAACACCACAAGACAAGTCTTGATAAGTTCAAGAGTGTTAGGAGCAAAGCTCATCTAAACAACACAAGTGTTTTTGGTCTACAATTCAAGTTATTTCATTTCATAAAACAAAGGCATACATATAGAATGGCCAGCCAAGAGGCTGCCTAGAGTTTGGACGAAATCTTCAATGTGCTAGCCTAGGTTTTAGCTTGGTAATGAATGGGCACAAACACATGTGCGTGTTGGCCTTAGCCTGGACCAGCCAGCCATGTATTATGACCAATATTTGGTCTTGATTCATACTACTCCATATAAGGCAACTTTCATTCCCATTAAGACTTTACATTAATCCTATTCAAATGGCACTTAAAAGCTGAGTTCAAATCTGAATTCTAAAAAAGGCAACAACCAAGCTCCTTGATCCCTCTTTGGCAAGTTTCCCACGGTTTGAATGCTATACCACATGGCTGAATTCATTAAATGGCTTGATTCTCCATAAAAGGAAAGTAATCAAGCTCCCACACGACTCATTAATTGAGGAATTCAAATGTGCATGCTGAATAAGGTAATATCCACCCATCTTGAGCTATACTTGGAAAGTAATCAATAGGTTTCATGGCCTGATGGAGATTCCACGTTTTGAATATTTGAATAGGACTTCATGGCTGAATGCCAAGTCACAAGGCCCCTTAAATGCTTGATTCAAATCAGCCTTGCTTGATAAGGCAACAACCACTCATGTTGAGCTATATTTGGTAAGTAATGAATTGGCTTAAAAGCTTGATGACCCAAACAGCTTGAATTCAAATTTGAGCCATATTTGGAAAGTAATAACATGGTTTCAAGGCTGTCAAGCAATCCACACGTTTTGGGTATGGTAGTTGATTATTCTCATTATGGCAATGCAACCACAAATTCTCCCTTTATGGTAATAGGCCCACGGTTTCTTCTTGGTCATGAATGCTTGGATGAATGTTGCTTAAGCTAAATATGGTAATCATAGGTTACATGGCACAAGGCCAATAATGGGCTATAAAGCTTAAAACATAAACTAAAGTTATTGTGCAAATAAAAGAGATAAAACATAAAATAATTTAAATGTGGGACAAAGGACCCCCACTTTATTTAAGTAAAACGAAAATGTCCTGAAGTTCTTATGGAGAATTGGCCTTTGGATGCTAAGCTTGATGGGCTTGTTGGTCTTCTTAGACTTGGCCCCAATCAGGTTGCTATCAACTTGCCTTAATTTATCCTCATTGGTTTTAAATTTTTACATGTAGGAATGACATGGCCAAGCCACTAAGCATGTGACCTGGACCAGGCGCCTGAATTTCAGCCAGCTGACCTGGCCAGTTTTCCTTCCTGCCGCACCAAACAAGGGCCAGCCAGGCGCCTTGATTCTCGCCCAGGCCATCAAGTCCAGCCTAGCATATATTCTGCTTAGGTTTTAATTATGAGTTTGAAATTGGGTTGCCTTAATTTATCCTCAAGAAAAGCCTAAAATTCAGCCATGGCTTTATGGAGTTAATGAAGAGGGATAACAATCCCCCATTTTCAGCCCTGGCCATAATAGAACAACACAAGCCACGGCCTGATAGCAACCCACCTAGGCCCAAGCCTGAGAAGACCAACGAATCCATCAAGCATGCCATACAACTAGATGAACCACCCGATGGAGGCCACTTTTCCTTAAGGGTTTAATGATTTCTACTTCATTTTGCATTAAATAAGTGGGGGTCTTATGTCCCACCATTATTTTAAGTTATGTTTTATTTTACTTGAACAATAAGTTTAGTTTATGTTTTATGCTTTATATCCCATATTTGGCCTCGTTCCATGTAATCTATGATTGCCACATGAAGAAAGAGCTATGAAGATGTCTTGACCAGGAACATATCCTACTTCAACCGTGTGGGGGACTAGGATGGGCATGGACACGTTGAAGTACTTCTTAGTGCTTTCCAAACTCGGCCAGTAAGGAGTTAAGGCACCTTCCAAACTTGGCCATCAAGGAGAACTTTCTGAAATTCAACCAAGTGGATGAATAAGGGAAGCTTGGACCGTGGGCATGGCAAGGGTTACCTTTTTGGACAACGCATTAAAGGCTAGCAAATTCAAATTTGAGCCAACATAAAATCTTTCCAAATCGGCAATCAACACTAATGCTACATTAAAGAATGGTTCCAAATTCGGACCAACTTTAAGGCTTGCCAAATTCAGCCACCAAGGATTAAAAGCATTCCAAATTCGGCTATCAAAGGAGTTAAAGCATTTCAAATTGTTGCCTTATTGGGACAACACGCCATTGATGAGCCAAATTCAGAATTGGACCACCATAAAAGCTTTCCAAACTTGGCCAGCAAGAGTTAATCCTTTCCATATTCGGCCAACACTACATTAAGGCATTTTCAATGCACACAATCAACTCTAGCTTAACAATAGGCCACGTTTTGCAAAGCCAAAGCTATAGAGGAATCATTAACATGACAAATTATACATTATGAAGGCATCACGTGGAGATATCAAAATAAAGGAGACAAGTCTTTCTCCCCTAATCTCTTGCCTCGGTGATAAAGGCAAATTCAAATTTGAACCTTGTGTTTATGGCTGAATTAATACGGCCCTAGCCTCTTGCTTGGTGTTTAAAGTATAATTTGAATTCTGAATATTGTATTTATGGCTGAATTAATATGGCCCTAGTCTTTTGCTTAGTGTTTAAGTTGTAATTTGAATAATGCAATGACGGCTGAATCAAAACAGCAGCCATAGTTAAGCCTAGGCAATTAAGTCACGAATTGACTTTAATGGGAGCCTTAGGCCAGCCCTCACTATATGTATTTGCTAATTGCACTTGAATAAAACAGATTTGAATTTTAAGAGAAAAACATTGTTGTTTAAGTTGAGCATTGCTCCTACCCCCTTAACTTATCAAGCTTGTCTTGTGGTGTTTTCTTAGCTTATCACCTTATTGGTGTGGTGCCTCCAATCATCCTCATCAACATCCTTGTTGTGGTGGAATTCTTTAACTTATCAAGCTTAGGCTTGTGGTGTTTTCCCTCCCAAGTCTTTTCCACCTTCTTTTATCTTTCCCTAATTTAATCCCCCTTAACCATCCACACACGACCAAATACAAGCCCAAATAGCCAAACACCCCAAAACCAACCGAAACTGAACCATTACCACCATCTAGCTCACTCACGCCTAGAAAACCTACCCAGGACATTAAAGCCTCGGTCAGAATTTCCAGCACCTCCGTCAGCCGAAGGCCAGACTGACTCAAGCCACGCACCAGCCCAAAATCCCAAACCCCTTACACACAACCACAATACAAACAGCCCCAAATACAAAAATACCAAAAACAACCAGAATTCCCAAATACAAAAATACCAAAAAAAACTAGAAATTCCGCATTTACATTACAAGTCCAAATTTCAAGCAAAACGATCGTAAAGAACACCAACCCCACAAGGAGGTTGCTGTCACGGCCATACTTCATCAAAGCAATTAACTAGCTGAAATTTAAATTCAAAAGAGTATTAAAGCCATACTCCTTGCTTTCCGCCTAGGAATTAAAGGACACCAACAAACACGGCCAAGGCATTTAACTTGGGGATTTCAAATTCAAATGAGGAATTCAATGAGGCCTTATCTTCCTCTTCAGCTTCAATGCCAAAAACCACATGTGCTAATGCTTAGGGAATTCAAACCGTGGCTTCAAGACAGAGGCAATAAACATGGAAATTCTTTAAGGAGCATTTGAATTAAGAGTGTCTACATTCACCCAAAGCATTCTGAATTACAAGCCACACGTGGGGACAAGCTCTCCTTATTTTTAGCTTGTATTAAGTTCATGCTTTATGGCCAAATAATGCACTTAATTTTGTAGTCTTAATTGTATACATTTGAAATTCAAAACACATGTAGAATGGCTGTGAGAATTCGGCAGCCTTTAGAAGTCTGGCGATCTATATGTACTCTTCACTATGATGAATAGAAGTTAAGTTGAATTTTATGCAAAAGCAAAGTGTTAGTGAGATTTTCTCTCCTAAGTTCTTGGTTGAACCAAGAGTATAGTTCTTATCAAACATCCTTGTTTGTGGCGAACCTCAATTGGCTTATCAAACATTTCAGTTTGTGGCGCCTTCCATTTCAATCTTCTTCACCATTCTTTTATCCAAAAACGTGACCAAAATACAACACACACCAACCCAAACATTAACCCTCGGCCTACACACAAAGCCTAACATTCTTCCATCCCAAAACACCTACTCTCGGCCAGAATCATCCCCAAACACATCCCAAACCACTCCTAAACAAAAGCCAGCCGTAACCAAACTTAAACACCCAAAAATACAACCAAAAACAGTCCTAAAGTGTCATAAACCAAGGCTTCAAACAAAACGATCAAAGTGAAATACCAACCCCCACAAGGAGGTTGCTATCAATAACTCCCAAAGTTGTTTGTGGCTACTTTTAAGCACAAATAACTCCCAAACTTCTCTGTGGCTAGTTTTCAGCACAAATAACTCCCAAAGTTGTTTGTGGCTACTTTTAGGCACAAATAACTCCCAAAGTTGTTTGTGGCTACTTTTAGGCACAAATAACTCCCAAAGTTGTTTCTGGCTCCTTTTAAGCACTAATAACTCCTAAACTTATTTGTGGCTAGTTTTCAGCACAACTAACTCTCAAAGTTGTTTGTGGCTACTTTTAAGCACAAAAAATAACTCCCAAAGTTGTGTTTGGCTACTTTTAAGCACAAATAACTTCCAAACTTCTCTGTGGCTAGTTTTCAGCACAAATAACTCCCAAAGTTGTTTGTAGCTAGTTTTCAGCACAAATAACTATCAAACTTCTTTGTGGGTTGATTTCAGCAAAAATTACTCCCAAACATCTTTGTGGCTAGTTTCCAGCACAAATAACTACCAAACTTCTTTGTGGATACTTTTAAGCAAAAATA